ATTAATGACCTATTAATAGAAGATTGCCTTAGACTTAGAATAATGATAAAAAAGTCAAAAAATAGAAATGTGGCTCATGATCTGTTTATAAATTGGATAGCTATCAATGAATTTATTAATCATACTTTTACATCTTTAAAGAAATAGATTCTAATATTATAGAAATATTTGAACCTAGACCTTTTGATTTAGAAATCAAATCAAGACTAATGAATCTTAGAGATCGTTAGTACCCACTAGATGATTATTAGAAGGTATTACAGAACCTGTTCCTTCTAATAGAAAAATAAAAATCTATGAAAGTTTTTGCATCAAGAAGTAACTTGTATTTTAAAAATCATGGAGAAAGTAGTTCTAGTAATAATCTAGTTCTACCTCTGCCTTCTTCTATGCCTTCATTCTCAAATAGAGATAATGAAGACACTGAAAGTATTATTAGTGAACAATTATTTGTTTCACATATATAACCATTTCTTTCTCATCCTCAATCAATATGAACAAAAAATTATAAATATTCCTATTTTTTCAAGAGATACAAGCATTCATAATAAAGAAAATTTGATTTATAATTCAGTAAATTTGGTTTTAAATTTAATTTTTCTAGAAATACTAAAAAGATTATATTCAAAGTTTAGCTATAATCAACCAATATAAAATTGGTAATGATGAAGTAATTATATTTTCAAGAAATCAATCAAAAAGGTATTACAATTATGTTGAAGCAGAATTTATATTTAAATAGTATAATCCATTCTCTTTAAATGTTTTAACAAACACTGGAACAACTATACGTAGTTGTAGAATAAATGCTTTATCATTAGAAAAATAAGAGCCAATGAAACACCCTATAATAGTAATAGGAATTAATGGAAAAGAAATCATAATAGGATATAAAGCAAAAAATGTTTCTATTTATTTAATGAATAAAAAATTTATAATCCCAAAAATTTTACGTATTCTTTTTATGCATGGTGATATGTTACTAGAAAATAATTTTTTATACAATTATTTACCTTTTGTTGAATATCAATAATATTGTTTTTACTATAGATAAAGAATCTATAGAAATATTATTAGTAACAAATCATAAACATATATGTGATTCTGATTTCTAACCTGAAATCAAGGATATGGAAATTAAATCAATTAGTGAAACACACTAGTTATATAAAATTTTAAAAGAAAATTTTGGTAAGGAACCATTAAAATTATGGTTTAGAAGTTTTAGATTTTGTAGTTCAAAAATTCTTAATTCAAAGAAAATAATTAGAGTGAAATTAATGATCTATATACTAAATAAGATATAGATGAAATTTGATATACAAATTAACGAACTTTTACAAAAAGGACTTATAGAACTCATTACTAGTCCACATTCAAGCCCAGCATTTATGGTAAAAAATCATGTTGAACAAAAAAGAGGAAAAGCTAAAATGGTAATCAACTATAAAAGGCTTAATCAAAATTTAATATTTGATGGATAATTTATTCCTAGAAAAGATATGTTTATAAACTTACCAAAAAATGCTAAATATTTTAGTAAATTTGATTGTAAATTAAGATTTGGCAAATAATACTAACTGAAAAGTCAAAACTATTGACAGCCTTTAGTGCACCACAAGGCCATTATTAGTGAGAAGTCATGCCCTTTGGACTTTGTAATGCTTCCACAAAATTTTCAAAGATGGATGGACACCATTTTTAAAAAATATAAAGTTTTTTTATGTGGTATAAATTGATGATATACTTATATATTTCTAAAACATTAAATAAGTATAAAAAACACCTAAATCTTATAGCTTAAGAATTTATAAAACATTGTATAATATTAAGCCCAAAAAAGATAAAGCTTGAAAAAACTAATATAGAATTCTTAGGCTTAAATTTATCTTCAAAAGTTCTTACTTCACAAGATCATATTATAGAAAAAATCAACGAATTTTTAGAACAATTAGAAGATCAAAAAACAACTTCAAAGTTTTCTAGGATTCTAATATATGTATACCTTAGATTTTGAAAAAAGTGTGCCTTCCATTTGCAACACATTGGAAAGCTTTACTTTCACTCCTTTGGCCTCTGAACATTGCCCTCTAAGTGCTCGATCATTGTACAGTGAGAGACGACAGTAATTGTAGCAAATGGCTAATAGTAAATATGAATACATTAAGTCTTTCAACGTTGAAATTGAAGTAATGCCACCTAATCTGATTGTTGTTCAAATTAATGGATACGATTTTCATAGGTAAATAAATTAATGCTGATTTTTACACATTTTTTACACATTTGAATTCTATATTTTTGCACATTAATTCTGATTTTTTTCTTTTTGGGTAGATTTTCTTAAGTTCATGAGTTTAAGAAACTAAATGATAAGAAAGCCTTAAATTTGATGAGCTAATGTGCAATGGTTCTTTTAGAAAAGTATCTTGATATTATCTTTTCTTATGAATAAAACGGTGAGTACGGTTAATCGAATTGTGAGTGTGATATTCAGATGTTACCCAAAACTTCATTTAATTCTCTTGTTGTGTGTGTGTGTTTTTTTTTAACATTTTTGTTTTGAAAAAGAGATCAAAATTCTACTAAAGGCAAAGTAGGTTTTATTTTATTATGCATATTCAGTATTTTCTTGTAGAGCTAGATAAGTTTAGCTGATTTTCTTTTGTTTTTAAAATGTATAATAAATTACTGAGCTTTTGCCACTTGGTAATGAATATGTAGCAAGATCTCTTCAATCATTGTGTCATTATTTTCTTCTAAATATGTCATAAAATGGAAAGATTTTTTTTTTTAAAGAGTTGAGGTACCCATCTTTATTTCGTTAAGGGATTGTATGTTATACACCCTATAGGTTCTTCAAACATATCTTGCATGGAGACAAAAAGATTATAAGTGATGCTTGGTCAGGTTTATTATAAACCAATTTAGAGTTGTTTATGGTAAGAGATATAGCTAATGCATAATATATTAGCATAATGCTAGAAAGACTTCTACACTTTTTGTTGCATAATTACCTCCATTATAACCTTTATGATCAAACAGAAAAGTTGAGGTCAAGGCACCCCGATTTGAAGTGCATTCAAACCAATAGGTAGATCTCGAATTACTCCATTGCTTGTTTAATTGATCCGTTAGGGTAGATTTCTCCTTATCATTTTTTTTTTTGTCTGTTATTAATCTTATCTGTGATTGGTTAATAAACTATCGAATAAATTTCAATACTATAAGTTAGGCTGAATGTTTTTATTAGTCAAGCAGATTAAAGCAGAACATTTTCTTGTGCAATAAAGGAAATTCTTCGTTATAAGATATTAAGATGGATCAGAGAGGAGGAAGAACAGATTAAGACTAACCATGAAAGCACTTTGAAATGTATAATTATTGACATGACTGGTAAGTTACTTTAAAAACTCCTTGATTATCATTTCAAAAAAAAAATACAAAAAAGGTATTATAGGTTATGAAACATATTATTACCATGAATTCCTACTGTATTTAACTAATAGTTTTGCATTTTTCTCAACTGTCATAGCCATAGACACCAGTGGCATTAGCATGGTATGTGAACTAAGAAAAATGTTGGTGAAAATATCACTTCATGTAGTGATTGTCACCTAATGAATTTCACTACATGCAAACTTTGTTAGCTTGCGGTTAACACGTGGCTGATATAGTTTATCTTCTAATATAGCTAGTGTTGGTAAACCCTATGGGAAGTGTGATGGAGAAATTGCATCACTCTAAAATCTTAGAGTCCTTTAGAATGAACTCATTCTATCTCACAGTTGGGGAAGCCATGGGAGACATCTCAGTTTCGTGAAAGCCTTGACCATGATTTGTAGAAAACTTTAAAAAGACAACAAAAATCAAGAGATGACTAACATTTTTAGACCTTAATTTGACAATCTTTGAAGAGTTACAGTGTAAGCGAGGACTTTGATTTGACTTTCCATTTTTGCAAAAAAGCCAAATAAGTATTGCAAAAGTTGGGACTTGCAAACCTTGATTTCTTATACTTTTATTCTCTACTAATTGGAATGAATTAATTTTTAATTTTATTGGGTACAAAGATTATAAATATTGAAAATTATTTTTAAAAAATAAAATAAGATTTTTGAGGATGATTTTAAGTATCATTATAGCTCATTTAATAAATTAAAAAAATGAATAAAATGTAACTTTTATCGATATTTTAAAATGTTTTTAAAATTTTTTTACTTATAACGATAGTTTAAAAATAATATATCTACAAATACATGTATAATTTCAACATTGGAGGTTCAACGATTGGAAAATTTTTACTAACACTCATCTAGTGGTCAATCGTTGGTCAAAAAACTATTAGTAATAGTAACACTTTTTAAAATTTTTTATTAATACTTATAAGTGTAAATAAAAATGATTTTTTTTTTTATTGTGTTTGAGATATATCATTGAGTAAGTGAGTTGTAAAAGATCAATTTTAATTTTTTTTCATATCAATGTTAGTGTTACAAGGAAAGAAAAATAAGAAACGTCAAATGCATTGTTAAGGAAAAAAATTTAAATGAAAGAAATCTTCCAAAAAAGAAATCAAAATTCCATCTACTTATTCTACGAGCTTAGGTGTCAACAAACCAGGGCCATTAAATTCTGGCATGGGTCTGTATGTATTTTAAAAAAAGTTGTGAATATTTATCTTTTCAATTTTTTTATATTTTTAATGAGTCGAATTAGATGGTGACTGGTGGGTAAATAAATTTCATATATTTTTGACTTTTTTTATTTAAAAGTTTTTTATATTTTATTTGTTCTTTCTTTCGTTACTTATCAAATGTCATGTCAATTTTTATTTTATTTTTTATTTCTTTGATTAAAATGACAGTGGTTGAACTTGGATTTGACGTACATTTCTTTTTATCTTTAATTTCTATATATTTTTAGTATTTATAATAAGATAAGATGTACTTTTTTACCTTTTCTTTTTTAATTTTCCTCTCATTTTTGTATTTTTCCCGAATCCTTTGAATAAAAAAAAAAAGAAAAGTAACTTTACTTTTTTTTACCAATATGCTTCAACTCTTTATGTCAATTGAGTACTACTACTATCCTTTGTCATTTATTTAAATATTAGGAGTTGATAAAAATTTTATTTTGTGCAAAGGGAGCCAGTGCCTTTTCGTTTACCTTCCCTCACCTAAGCCCTGTCTTCTCGTAACTTTCACATAATTTTCTTCCCACACTCTCAATTTTTTATAGAAAAGAGATGAATGACAAAAATTTTTTTTGATAAAAATCCAGAAAAGAAAAGAGAGAGGAAGACATCGGAGTGAAATTTGTGATGAGCCATAAAGGAGATGAGAGAGAGAAGAAAAGGAACACTACTACTCGCCCTATACGCGGATCGAAGGTTGGGTCGACAACTTCAATAGTTCTGCGTCGAAAATCCTGATGGTTAGTCTTCTTTATTTCAAGTTTCATTTTTAAATTTAAAATCTGAAGGCCAGCTTCAATGAGTGATAAAAAAAGAAAAGAAAATATTGATTAAGTTTTGGGCTGAACGGTGTTGAGGGGAGGATGGAAAAGAGAAAGGATCACACATCGCCTCCACCTACGTTGACTCTAGATTAGCAGATCGGTAGCTGGATCGCCGGCTTCAGCAATCCAATGCCAACGAGTCTTGATGGTTAGTTTTTTCTAGTATAATTTTTCTGTTTCATTTTTAATTATGCTTTTATGAAACTAATGGGATAGGTTTTATATTATGGAGAACTAAGAAATAAGTCGAAGATCATTTATACTAAAATTTCGGTGACTATTTTTGAGAATTTACATGTGTGAAATGTGATTTATCGGTGGAAAAAAAATTAATGTTGTAGAAAGAGAAATGAAAAGTAGTGAGAAATAAGTAACTGAATAGTGAGAAATAAGTAAGTCATTTTCTAATTCTGTACCAAATTTTGTTTTAAATGAGAACTTTTGCTCTTTTTTCTTTTGTTTTAAATGAATATGTTTGTTTTAGCAATTCCAAAAAAGAAAGTTAAGGAACTTAGAAACATTGAAGGTTAAAGGCAGTAAGTAGTTTTGTTTATCTATACATAAAATTCATGAAAGTTTTGTATTAAAAATAGTTAAATATATGTTAAATTTTAAAAAACAAAAATTGATAGTGTTACCTATCAAGGATAACAAATTTTTTACTATCTTATCTGTCCAAAACATTTTTGCAGCAATAAAGCGATGGCCCAACCCGTTTGTACTTAACATGAAAATCTTATTGAAATATTAAAAAATTAATTTCCTTTATAGGTAATGGTTTGGTCAATGAAGGAGGATTAATTGTGCATTGATCCCATTTCTTAGTTTTATCATCACTACCTATTTTTCTTTATTTAATGTTGTATTTAATCATCATGCAATTCTGTTTACCATTAAAATTATTTAAGTTATATTCTTAAGGTTTGCATAAATACCAATGATTAACCTTATGATATGATGTGGCTTCTCTTTTGAGAATATCCAACATTCCCTGCTTCCAACTTTTGTAATGTAAATAGCAACATATTTTATGTTTAATTAATTATGAGGTGCTAACTTGATTTGGAAAGTATATGTCATGAATTGAGTAGCGTTCTTTTACTTTTTCATTTTTTACAAATTACTATAATAAATCTTATTTGGAAATAAGCAAGATAGTGAATTTGACTATTGTCAATCTTTTTTATTTAATTTTGATGCTATCCCTGAAGTGGTTCAATTCACAGGAAAATTTCACAAGAATACCTTTGTAGAACTAATTGAATTTTTGGCAATCAAACAAAACCAAGTCATCTAGATTAGGTTTGCACGTCTATGGGATTCAGTAAATCAAAAACAAATAAATTACTCAATCTCAACTTTCTTGTCACTAATGCTAAAGTAAACTAAAATATGCTTAAGCAAAAACTCTTCTTTTAAATATTCAATCGAAACTAGCTTTCAATCTACTTAACATTTGCTTCCTCCTAGGGAAATGCTAAGCATGCAACGATAAAAAGTTTTGATTCAAAAACATTTAGGCCAATGATGAAAGAAAGATGATTTTATCATATTTCAAAATTTCTCATCAACAATGCAAAATACACTCATAAAGAGGTTTGGCTTTTTAATTTTATTATTTCATATGGCAAAATGTCATTGTGGTTTAAATCATTAGTGTGGAAAAACTAAGAAATAAAACTGTGTGAAAAACTAAGAGTAAAACTAAATGTATATTGAAAAACTGTGGAAAAACTAAGAAATAACACTGTGTGAAAAACTAAGAGTAAAATTGAATGTATATTGAACAACTACTCATAAAGAATTATACAAGCACTTTGGGATTATATGCAACTAACTAGTTGGTAAACTAGGAAACTAAATCTTCCTAAAACTCATCCTATAATTGAGGGATTGTTTATTCTAATTTTTTTTCCTTAATTTTAGGGATACAAATACTTAATTCTACAGATACAAATATAAATATACAGATTACAAGATTACAATCAGCTGTAAATAATGTTTTCTCACACTCCCCCTCAAGTTGGTGAATAGGTGTTTTTCATTCCCAGCTTGGAAATAATTTCTTGAAATGTTGCACTGCTGAGACCTTTAGTCAACACATCTGTAAGTTGACCCTTGGTTGATACATACGGTGTACAAATCAACCCACTGTCTAGTTTTTTCTTTATGAAATGCCGGTCTACTTTAATGTATTTTGTTCTGTCATGTTGCATAGGATTGTGTGCAATGCTTATTGCAAACTTGTTATCACAGTAGAGTCTCATTGGTTCATCCCACTTAATCTTCAAGTCTTCTAGGATAATCTATAACCATATTAGTTCACAAATTCCTTGAGCTATTGCTTTGAACTCTACTTCTGCACTTGATCTTGCTATCACACTCTGTTTTTTATTCCTCCATGTCACAAGATTATCACCTAGGACAGTGCAGTAACCTTGGGTGGATCTTCTATCAATTACTGTACCTGCATAATCAGCATCTGTATATGCCCCTAGAACTAGCCTCGAATTTCTTTTGAATAAGATACCTCTCACAGGATTGGCCTTCAAATAGGACAATACACGGTAGACGGGCTGTAGGTGCACTTCTTTATGACTATGTATAAATTAACTTATCACACTCATAGCATATGCTATATCAAGTCTAGTATGTGAGAGATAAAGTCTTCCAACTAATCTTTGATATATCTCTCCATCTACAGTAGCATCTCCATTAACTTCTTCAAGTTTATAATTAGGATCTATAGGGGTATTTACAGGTTTACATGCAAGCTGTCTAGTTTCCTTTAGAAGATCCATCACATATTTCTATTGTGAGATGAAAATACCATGCTGTGAGTGAGCTACTTCAATTTCTAGGAAGTACTTCAATCTCCCTAGCTCTTTATCTCAAATTCTCTAGCCAAACATTGTTTTAGAGAGTTTCTCTATTTTTTATCATCTCTAGTTACAATTATATCATCAATATACACTAATAGGACTGTGACTTTTTCCGAATCAGAGTACTTTATAAACAATGTGCAATCTCTTTGACTCTGCTTATATCCCATTGCTAGCATCACTTCGACAAATCTCCCGAGCCAAGCCCTAGGAGACTGTTTAAGGCCATATAAAGCCTTTTTCAGCTTGCATACTTTGTTTGCTTCTAAATGACCTCCAAATCCCAGTGGAACCTTCATATATATTTCTTCTTCCAAATCACCATGTAGAAAAGAATTATTTACATCAAATTGTTGAAGCTACCAATTGTAATTTGCAGCCAATGATAACAAATCCTAATTGTATTCATCTTGGCAACTAGAGCAAAAGTTTCTTGATAATCCACTCCATAAGTTTAAGTGTAGTCCTTAGCCACCAACCTGGCTTTATATCTTTCAATAGTGCCATTCGCTTTGTATTTTACAGTGAAAATCCATTTACACCCAATTAGATTTTTTCCTTGAGGCAACCCTACTAGTTCCCATGTCTTAAGTCCTCCGTTTCTATTTTCATGGCTTTGCCTCAATTTCTTATTGCATAATGCCTCGGATAATGTAGTTGGAACAAAAACAATGTTTAGGCTCACAAGAAAATTTTTATGGGATGGTGAGAATTTTTCAAGTGACACAATTAGAGATTGGTATAGTGGATACTTAGTACATTCTTTGGTTCCTTTCCTAACTGCAATATGTAGATCATAATCACTAGTTATAGTTTTAGGATATTCATGTTGAATTTGAGAAATAGAGTCAAAGACCAGAGTTAGGATCAAGTTCTTGGACTTTCATTGGTTCAGGATCTGGAACTTTTCTTCTTGAGTACACCTATAATTCCTTATAGAATCAAGAACAATATTATCCTTTGTCACATCTTTTGTGTTTGGAATGGGTTTAGACTCAAATTTAGTGTTTGACTTGGACTTAGAAGAAACAGGTTTGACTCAAAAGAATTAATGGGTGAAATGTTGAAGAGGAGGACAAATCAAGCAAAAAGAAGTCTTTATCCTTGTCTTCCATGAATGTCACTCCCTGAAAGATAAGGTTGAGTAAAAAATGATTTACTTTCTTCAAAAGTGACATCTGCAAACACATAGAATTTTTTTGGTAGGAGGATGATAGCACTTATACCCTTTCTAAGTTGATGAATATCCTATAAAAATGCACTTAATTGCTCTAGGATCTAACTTCCCTCTATTGTGACTGTGAACATTAACAAATGATTTACAACAAAATGTCCTAGGTGTGAGGTTGTTTGCGGTATTAAAGTTGGGATAAAATTGTGAGAGTACTTCCATAGGAGTTTTAAATCCTGAAACTTTTGAAGGTAACCTATTTATAATATGTGTGGCAATGAGAGCAACTTCCCCCTAGTAGGATTTAGGTACGTTTGCTTGAAAAAGTAAAGCTTGAGTTGTGGCTAGTAAATGAGTGTTTTTCCTCTCTGCCACTCCATTTTGTTGTGGAGCATTAACACAAGATGACTCATAGATAATCCCTTCTTTTTGGAAATAGGTAGATAAACTCTGGTTGAAATAGTTTCTTGCATTATCAGATCTAAATCTCTTGGTTTTCACTTCAAATTGATTTTGGATCATGTTTTAGAAGCTTAAAAATACACTATTCACATTTGATTTGGATTTAAGTAAAAATATCCAAGAGACCCTAGTACAATTATCTATGAAAGAAACAAACCACCTTGCACCAAAAATATTAGGATTGTAGAGGGATCCCATATGTCACTATGAATCAAGTAAAAAGGAGTAGAACTTCTTTTATTGTTAACTGGAAAAGGCACACGTCTATGCTTTGCAAATTCACAAACATCATAATGAAAGTTTTCGACATTTAATCTTTTGAACAAAGAAGGAAATATGTTTTTCAAAGTTCCAAAAGAAGGATGTGTATGACAAAAATGATAAAGCCAGATTTTGTCTTTATTGGGAGATTTTTCAGAAAGAAATGACAAAGGTAAACTATTCTTAATATTACTTGTGTTGTTTGATGTCTCAAGATAGTATAGTCCATCCTTCTCCTTAGCAAGTTCAATCCTTTCCCCCGAATTCTGGTCCTGAAATTCACAATAAAAGGGATAAAAAGTCACTTTGCAATTCATGTCTTTGGTAAGTTTTTGTATAGATATCAAATTAGTAGACAATCCAATAACATTTTAAAGAATAAACGAGGGATTTATTTGAACATCTCCTAATCTTGCCACTGTAATAACTGAACCATTTGCAACAATAATTTTCTTATTACTATGACACAGTGTATATGTACTAAATTTCTGTGAAGAATGTGTCATATAGTCTGTGGTTTATAAGTCAATGAGTCAATAACTCACAATAGGCTTAATCGAGAAATTGAATCCATGAGAACCAGAAGCTTTACCTAAACTAGAAATCTTACCCAAAAAACATACCCCAGTAGGCTTTTCGAGAGTTTTTAATAGGCTTCTTAGTTTCTCAATCTCTTCTCTGTCCAACTCTCTTTATTCCCGAGACTTCTGTAGTACTCCGGTGGTTTTACCAGTTGTTACTTCCTAAAATCGGGTAGTAGTGACAGATTCTGCTATCTCTGGTATGGTTATCTTTCTCATAACTGAAACGAGTCTTGATAGTAAAGGTTTAACTAAAGAGGATTCTAGGCAATGAAGGCCAAAGAAGGAAAAAATAAGACTAAAAGATTTAATAAGATTTGGCTATGAAGACCTGAAATAGAATTCAGTAATGAAGGCTGAAAAATTTTCTTCCCAAGAAAAGCCTAAAGCTCTGAGACAATGTGAAAAAACTAAGAAATAAAACTGTGTGGAAAAGAGTAAAATTGAATATATATTGAAAAACTATGGAAAAGCTAAGAAATAAAATTGTATGAAAAACTAAGAGTAAAACTAAATGTATATTGAAAAACTGCTCATAAAGAATTATACAAACACCTTAGGTTTATATACAACTAACTAGTGGGTAAACTAAGAAACTAAATCTTCCTAAAACTGATCCTATAATTGAAGTATTGTCTATCTTAATTTTTTGTCCTTAATTTTAGGAATACAAATACTTAATTCTAGAGATACAATTATAAATATACAGATTACAAGATTACAACCAGTGGTAAATAAGTGTTTTCTTACAATTAGTTTTGATAATTTTTTTATTATGAATGTTCTTCAATTCATTTGTTTTTATAGTATTTAGTTTATTGCTTCGAACGTCTTTGAATAAATGTCAATGTGGGAGGATTGAAAACTGTTAGAAGAGCTGTTTTTTCCATTAATGTTGTTTGGACATGTTTTAAAAGTTAGAAGGTTTTTTTAGATTTGATGGTTTGCAGATTACATGTTGTTAATGAGTTGATTTTATATATGGAGGTGGTTCGTTATAAGTAATTTGTTCCTTTTTTGTTAAATTGTTTCAATTTGTTTGATTTATGTTGTCTTTGATTAATAAAATGGATTTGATGTCTTTGTATTCTTTTTTCACTTATTATTTGTCTTTTTTTTTTTTTTTACTTATTATCTTTTTAGGTCAACAAAAGAAGATTTCAAAGAATTAGAGACCTTAGCAAGTCTGTTGATGGAACTGAGAAAAGTAATATGAAAAAGCCAAAATGTAAAGTTCCTAAAAGGTTTGCTGATATGAGTATAGATGTTATTCATTAGGGTGAGAGTATTGAAGGGAAAAAGATTTTCAATTGGGAAGCTTTGAGTGTCAGTTTGGCATTTTTATAATCCAACTAAATTGTTTTTTTTGCAAGTTTCTATGCACTGTGCTCACATCCTCAAGTGTCAAATCATTTGACTATCCTCTCTGAATCTCTGCCGTCTGATTTGAATGACGAAAGCTGTTACTTGAGACAATCAAAACAGGTACGCTGTTTTGGGCATTCTTTATATCATAAATATGATGAAAGTTTCCATGCTTAGGATAAACATGGCTTGCTCAAGGCAAAAGCGAAGAGGGTAAAACTGTTTGAATGGTTTACTATAGAGTGTGCTATGTAATTGGCTTAATGGAATCAGAATCTTATTTGAGAAGTTTATGTTTCGTGTCAATTACAATTAGATTTGGGAGGATATTCATAGTGGAAAAACTATGGAAGATTGTGCAGTATTATCAAGGTTCCTACTTATCTCATTCGAAAATTGAAAAAGATGGAACTTTCATTAGTGGTTTGCTTTTCCCTGCTATTGCACTTAATCCTCATGTTACTTTGGTTGAATTAAGGCCAACTTTTCAATGGTTTACCTTGGAAGAGTTGTTACAATATGCTTAACACTAGCAAGCTGTCTGGATTATTTATTATTTTTTCATTGCTTAAAGATTTTTGTTTTTGTTTTATATATGCAGGCAAAATCCATATCAGCAGCATCTAAAAAATGGCAGAACTCAAGTGAATCAACTGGTAGATTTTGCTTCTATGCTGTCACAAGTTCTATATTTCTTTTGATCTTGCTCTATCAAAATTCAATTGTAATTATGTTCCCTTTTTTGTCTATATTTTTTACCGAGACTGCATATTTTCCATTCTCTTTTGCATGGATAACTGATACCATAACCTTAAGTTTGGTTCATTGTGGCAACTGACAACAAACAAATGGCTGTATCATACTTTGATTATTCTGCAGGCTCCGAGGTAATGTTTAATAATCTTGGTCACTTCTCTTATGCTGCAATTCAGGTGATTCTAACATTAATCCTCTTCTAAAGTTTGATTTAATACTAATGTCTTACCTGTTTGTGTGAGTTCAAAGCTGGAAGCTAAAATGAAATTAACTTTTATCTTATGTCAAACTGCTTTTACCTTTCTGGTTTATCCAGCCTTTATATTGGCATATATAGGCCAAGCTGCTTACTTTTCTCAACAACATCATATGAGCTACCGGATGAGTTTTTATGTCTCAATTCCAGGTATACCTCATCTTCTATTTCCAAAAGAAAAATAATAGGAAGCTAACTGATGAAATGGAAACATGTAAGTTTCAAGTCTAAGCATGGAAACCCCCAAACTATCTCTTTTTCCCTATGAACTAAGAAAAAAGTGCGAAAGATAAAACAGTGGTTTTATAGTATAAGAACTCTTTTGCATACAATCTGAATTCGTGGTTTTAGACAAAAAAAGTTGATTGCTTAATGTTTGTGTATAGAAAATGTGAGATGGCCTGTGCTAATAGTAGCAATTTTTGCTTCTATTGTGGGAAGCCAAGAAATCATTAGTGGAACATTCTCAATCATCAACCAGAGCTAATTCCTTGGTTGTTTTCCTACAATCAAGTTTATTCACAGCTCTAACAAAATACATGACCATAGTTATATCCCTGAAATCAATTGGGTATTCATGATTCTCTGCATTATTATGACCATTGGATTTAGAGACATAAAACACATGAGGGATGCATCAGGTAAGATTAAACTTCATGCGTCCAAGATAATAATTTTTTAATGTGTAATTAAAATTCATTTCCTTCCTAACATGAAGTCCATTTTTCCCTTGGAAGATTATTGAATTGACATCTACCTCTTGATTAAACTTCAGTCGAAATGGTTTGATTTGTTTTTATTTTTGTTAATCAATTTTGATGTGTTTCTCTACCACTTACGTCAATTATTTTAGAGCATGTTCAATGTAACTCTTTTTTTTTTAATCATGTATAGGTGTGAATATATTGAGACAGGTTCACTAGACAGTTCACACAACAGCTTCTTACAAATAAAAAATGGTGTAAACAAAGCCTTCTCCTAATTGTTTGGACACTTAGATGCATATATGGTAAGCATAATACAACTCTTTAGTACAAATAATTCTTCGTGTCTAATGCTTGACCTGTTTTTCAATAATGATTTTGGGCGTTGGAATTACATATTTGCTTGCTTACGATAACGTTTTCTAAGCTAAAAAATTGTTAGATTTTGTGGTTTATATATTCATCTTGGTTATTGTCTATTAGTTGATACAATGTTTGAAATAAAATTATATTATCATACATATGACACTGAATCCCATAGTAATTGAGATTTTGTCTTTATTATTCTAGGCATATTCCAAAATTCTCAAATGTTTAAAGAAATTCAAATTTAGCCTTTATGTTGTTAAATTTTTATGTAGCAATTATTGTTTTTAGTACTAATATGTATAAACTCAATAGAACTGTTTTTTAATTCAGTCAAACACCCATTTCCCTATTAACAATCAATACTCAATCATCCAAACCATATATATAATATAAAACTCATGATTTTTTAATTTTAGGACTAAATTTTCTGCTACTTACCTAATTGATTCAATCCTTTCATTTTACCTATGCCTTTTACCTAATACCTAATTCATTCAATCTTTCACTTTTAGTTGCTCACTTTTAACAAACGATTCCAAAATTTTTGTTCTCATCTTTTTCTCTCCCTTTAATTCAATATGATTTTTAGGTTTTTTCTAGGAAAAAATTAAAAGGCTTCCTTCTCCAATCGAACACAAAGGGAAAAGTAACTTTGTTTTGAAAAACGAGTTACAACAAACCAAAAAAATTTGTTTGGCAGTCGAATCAAGTGGAAGGCAAACAAAAAAAATGGAGGTATCATCATCACTATAAATGATATACTTTAAAATAATTTTTGTTTTTATTGAGGCCATCAGGCTAGGCTTCTATATTTTTTTTTAATTACTGCAATATTTTTAAAATAAAAGTTTGAGTTTTTTTTTTTTTTTTTTATTGAGATTGGTGGTAAAAGCTGAGTGATGGAGTTGGCTAAGGTGGTGGTAGCAGGATTTTTATTAGTTTTCAATTATTTTTGTGCTGTTTGAAATTGTAGTATTTGACTTGATGAAAAATTGTTGTCCAGTTTGTTCTTATTTGATTATTTGTAGACACTAAAAATCTCCAATTCTTGGTTTGAAAATTAAATTTTCAGGTAGTTTATGTCTCTTGGATTTAGGAGATGGAATTTATATCTATAGCTGTAGCTTTGCAATGTAGTGGTGGTGGAGTTGCATTGGCATTAACGCACATATATCAGATTGGTTGCTAATAAATCTTGCAATAAAATGATAAGCATGGGAAAGGGAAGAAGATGGGGGGTATGAATTGTTTTCTCATATGAAAGTAGCTATGAAATTTGGTCAACTTGATCATCAAAGCAATTTACAATCATAAATTGATTTCTTAATTTAGATTGCATCTAGAGTTGATTCTTTGTTTTGGTTGTTTTTTTGACTTTTTTCTAAATGAAAATTTATTGCTTACTTTGAAAGTTTCAATCTTAGAATTTAATCCATCTCGGAATAATATGATTCAAGTATGGTTCAAGTATGTAACTTTTTCACATGTTATTATGTATCAAAATGAACATGGTGTTAGTTGCTTTTGAAACTCTTATGGAAAATGAGTTTGTGTTTGCTTTGTTATGGTAGTGCACAAGATATTAGTAGTGTTAGTTGCTTTTCAAATTCTTATGCATTTTTTTGATATTTTATTCTAATAGATATCAATTACCTTCTATACAATTGTTGCTCACATCTTAAAAAAGGTAAAGCATTCTTGAACCTTTAACTTATTTTCTTACATTCGTTTTTTGCATATATAGATAGACAAAAGGTTATTAGTACATCTAAGCAGATTGTTAAGGTAAATCCATAATTGTTCCTTTTAATAGTTTGGAAAGTATTGCTAAGTTAACTCATACTACTATATGTGTTCACTTTTTGAATAATTGACCAATTAGAATTGCCTCAAATGTATGTATATTGGACTTTTTGAGACAATAGAAGTTTACCATAATCCATTATTTCACCTTTTTGTTGAGTTAATTCATAACCCGTAAATGTTTTTCTCTTTTTTTTTGTTATGCTTAAGGATTGTTTCCTGATGTCTATCTTCAAGTTTTCATAAGAATTTTTTATTGATCTGATGATATAAAATGGTGCCAAAATCTTTTGTTACTTTTATTTCCACATAGAAATAAGGAAAGAAGGAACATATGTTCGATTTTAATGGCCTCTCTTGCCTTTCACAACTTTCTTGATTATGTTTTCCGTTTATTAGAAAGGTTAAAAAGTTTTATATTACTGACTCATTGGGGACGGGAATGTGCTGCAATTAAATACATGGTGTTGTAAAGGATGTGACTTTTGGTTCAAGTATGATTCCCTCACAACTAACATTTGTATGCTTTTATTTTTTCATTTTTGTGGGTGTATGTACTTTTTTTTTCTTTTCTCTCCTTGTTCATGCGTATGGGTCTTGCTCATCTTCTATTTTTTTTTTTTTTAAACAAAGGTGAATGTTCGTGAAATTTTAGTGGAAAGTATGGATTTTGGGCTTTACATATTTATTTTCAATTATAAATTGATGATCAAGATAAATTTTTTTAGTATGTATCTAATTTTTTTTTTTTTTTAGCTTTCTAGGGACCGAAAGTCTATTATAGTTTAGTTACTTATCTTTGTTTTTAATATTTCAAGACATATGAGTTAATGAAAAGAATTGGTATCTTCAAAAGCTTAATCTCCAATGAATAGAAATGAAACTAAAAGATAATCATAAAAACAAGTTTAGATCTTTGAAATAACGGTCAAATTATAAAAATAGCATATTGCACATATTTTTGCTTTTATTTTTCAAATTAGTCAATTTTATATCATACCAAGGAAAATGACAGTTGACTTTTAGCTATTCTTTAACTCACCAAGCTTCTCTTTACGAGACAAAATTATACTCGCACAGCTATCAATATTTAGTAAATATTTTACATATTACATATTTCATACATTGCTTTATACAAATTTTTGCATAAATAACTTTATATTAATGTTTAAGATCTATGGACTTGGGACTAAGGACATATTTTGATATAGCTTTGTTGGCAAGTGGATCTATAAGAGTTTAGATGTAATTTGATCAGTTTCATGGATATTAAATGAATTGGTTTTAGGAATAGTCAATTAATTCAATATATGTATGCTTTTATAGTAGAGTTGATTATTGTTATCCTTTTTATGTCTTAAGCATCATAGTTAAGCGAATTAAATTTTTTTTTTAATATTATTAGCAACAATGATTGTATTTTCTTCCCACTTCAAATTGATTAGTGCAATTGCATTAGGTTTGAAGACTAAATTATTTGAAGAATGCAATCTTTGGCGATAATAAAATGCAATCCTTAAACATGCAGGTTGTATTTGACTATTTTGTTGAACACTTAATTTAGTGAAAGCTTAATCTTGAAACAGTCTTATGGTTCGATCATTGCATTTTATTATTTATATCTTAAGATACAGTTTGACTTAGATAATATATAGTCTAGGTCGTGTTTTTATTTAAAATGTATTGGTATTCCAAAAATGACTTTAAAATATCAATGTGTTATAATGTAATAGAAATATTTTGTATTTTAAATAAATACAAGCATAATCCTAAAATTTAAATATTCCAAGAGCCACTTTTAAATAGCAAGAATGTGTTAGTATTCTTTCTCAAAATCACAAGTCTATGCTTTGTTAAATTCAATTTGAAAATCTCATCTTTCTTAAAATAAAATTTATTTTCGTAAAAGGATGAGCAAACTGGTTGAATATCTTGTTAATTAACTTGCTAAAACAAGATATGGATTTCTTTGCCATGAAAAAAAGTGCGTATACAATTTTAGAAATAAACAATATCTTGAAATTTTGTGAATATTTTAAAAATAATTATTTTTTTTTAACTAAACAAGTGTAAAAGAATTTTTTTTTTTTGGAAAAAGTTGTTCAATTCCTAACAAAGGAATTATTTCAACAAATAAATTTTTTTATTCAACAGATTACAAAAAAAATTGTTAGTGGAAATTTTTTTAAATATTATTATTTTTTATATATTCATATTACTACAATAGGAGGTTCAATTCCAAAAATTAAATTCATACTTAATCATGAACTTTTTGATGTAATTAGCATCAAACTTGAAATAGTTGGTCAGAATTTTGTACAGAACTTATCTTTTGATTTGATTAAAGATTTTTTTGCCTTTATCAAGCACCAATTTCATAAAGCGGTAAAAAATAGTCACTATTTTTTTTATATACATTTTACCATAACCAATCTCTTTAGATGCTATCATTAGATGCTATCAAAGATTTTTTTAATCCTATCAAATCTGAAAAATGAAAAAAGTCCTTTCTGCCTTTTGTTAAACTTAATAACAAAAGCCAAGATTCTTAAAACTATAAATAAGATAATTTTAAAATTTTTTAATCCAGCGCAATATCAATTTCAAACAAGAATCGATATGATGGAAAAAGCTAGTTATCTCCTTCAGTTGGTCATTGGAGATAGTTTTTTAAAAAATTGTTGTACAAACTGATGGATGAAAGATTTTTGCATTAATTTATTATGTAACATTTCAAGCACCTTTCGAGACTCAACCAGTGGCGTTGAAATTTCTTCAATAACTATTTAAAATGGAAGATGTTCATCACTTTCAAGAATTATTTTTTCAATACCAAGAAGGATGAACGATGTGAAATCAATTTAAAATTAACTTTTTTCACTCTTACCAAACCTTGGACAAAGATGGAATAAAATTATAAAACTTGGATAATACTATGAAAGGATAAACAATTCACATCAGAGATATTCTAAACAAGAATTATCCAAAGATAAGTTGATTTAAGCTACCAATAGCAAAAGACAATATGGTTCGGAGCCAAAGACTAGTTGTATTATAGTAGTTATTGTTCATAACAAAAAATCTTTGTATCAAATAAAACTGTTTTATAAGATAGAGATATGCAAAAAAAAAAAATACTATAGCAAGTCACTGTAACATCATACTGTAGTAAAAATTTACTATACATTATAGCGGTCATTATACATAGTTATTATTTATATTTTGATTATAAATAGAGAATAGGATAATTAGCTCGAAAAGGCTATTCTATCACTCTTATCTTTTCTTTTCTTCTTTTATTTTCCTCTCTTTGAGATCATCTTCAATTACTATATATTTTTTCTAGTTTCTTTTGATCTTTTTCACACTTTTTTTGTAAATGGTATCAGAGCCCTCGGTTTGTGTAAAAGGTTTGTACTTGTAAGTTTAAACTTATAAATCTATTTTGTAATCTTATTTTTATAAACAAAGTTTTTATATCTACTTTTATTTTTTGTTGTTTATTTCATGTTTTAAAGTTCATACAGTGAATCTGTAGTTATTTGTTGGTATTTGTTAAGCCTTGTATGCTTTATTATTGACTGGCTTTTAATAACCTATACATAATCACACCGATCTTAAGCATCATAAACATAGAATCAACTTTAAAAAATAATTATATTTGTAAAGATCAAGTTTATAATCATAGTTTGCATATAGATCCTAAGTTTGAATATAATAATATGTCAATTCATAGAGCTATAAATGATTTGTTTGATATTTTTTATTCATTTTTTACTAAGTTATTTGTAAAAATAGATAATATGGAAGATAAAATAAATTTACTTGCAGAAAAGATAGATTAAAGACATGTTCTTCCAAATACATATACAGATTTTGAACTTTTTTACTATGACAATATTATGATGACAGATGACAACCATTCATCTTCTTCAGCAAAGGAGAAACAAGAAAAACTTGATATTGACTCATATAAATATTTAATTGAAAACTTTAAATTTAAAATGAAAAAAACTGAATATATGAAACAACAGATTGACTATCTTCAAGTTATTGAAACTCTTTATGAAGAAAATAAAGGACTTTTTCAAAAATATAACTATCATTATATGCTTAACTATTGTTGTAATGATTTTGTGTCCGTCCGACGAATTTGAAAACGAAATAAAAAAAATAACGGAGTGGCCACCAATATTTTTTTTGGCTAGGTGCGATTGGTCACCTACTAAAATATATTCTTTTAATAAAGTTTTAAAATTAATTAAAATTTATTCAAAAGATAATTTTACGATTTGCAAAACAGTTTGGGTTCGGGAGTCGGTTATGCGTGGGGAAAGATTAGCATCCTCACAGCGATCATTAAAAAACAGTATCAATTAACGATGTGTTATCCTTTGATTTTTGATAAAAATAGTCTAATTTTCGGTGTTCAAAAATTAATTTTCTTGATTTTTTATTTATAAGAAAAAAAATTTATTCTCGAGAAAAATAAATTAAGATCTTTTTATTGAAATAATTCTTAAAATGTTTCAGCACGTTGGTAACATTAGAAGAACTTTTTTTCACCTAGAGATTTTTTAGGCATCGCTTCTCGGAATACCTTAGAATCTCATTCTTGGAGGTTCAAATTTACTTTTCGTAAAAAATGTCATACATGCAATACAAAATGTTATCATGTTGATGCACAAATTTTATTTTTCTTTGTGAGAAATTTTATTAATATTCTTATTTAAAAAATTGAAGAAAAATAAAAATTTCATTATATTGAAGATTTTTTATAAATATTTCAATACACTGGTAATATTTTACAAAAAATCTTCTCATCTAGAGATTTCTTAAAGCATCTCTACTTGAAATACTTTTAGAATCTCATCATTGGTTAAAATTTTTTTTCTTCCTATTTTTATTACTTATATTTTTAATATATTAATCAATTTTTATTTATTACTATTTTATAACCAAAAAAGAAAAATTTTTATTTTTATTGAAAATTTTTTTTATAAATACTTCAATACACTGGTAATATGTTTAAAAAATTTTTTCATCTTGAGATTTTATAGGCATCACTACTCAGAATACCTTTGAATCTCATCATCAGGTAAAAATTTTCTTTTCCTACATTTTTTTATTAGTTTAGTATTATTATTAAATTTATTTTTATATTATTTTGTTTTTGAAGTTTATTTTAAAAATTAACAAAATTAAAAAAAAATTTAACCACATATTTCATCGTTTAATCTAACAAATATAAATATTTTAATATGAATAAATATTAATAAAATAATATATAAAAATAAGAAAATTCAAAAATTTTTTTTTTACCTAAATCGGATAAGTCAACGGTTTAGTCAACGCGCGGTTCGGTTCGACGGTTTGGTCCGACGGTTTAGCTCGGTTGGGCACGGTCTGGGTGGCTCAGCAGTTCAGTATCGATTTTATTTGGTCTAGGCGGTTCGATTTCCGGTTCAGTCAGACCGATCAGAGATTGATGAAGAAAGTGGGTCGCGGGTCGGGGGCACGAACCCCGGGTCGGGTCAAAGGTTGATGCGTGGATCCTAGGTGCTTAAAAGGATGTTGTTTTGGGCGTTTATTGAAATCACATCGTTTTGGTTTTCACCGTTTATATAAAAGGTTCAATTTTTTTTCAGTCATTTTTGCTTTTTTCTTAAAAAAAAATGCCTGATTTTTTTTTCTCTTCTTTTTCAGTCGACCTGGACCGGTGGTCGTCCGTTGTGAATCGCTGTCGCAGTCCTTACAGGCGGTGAACTTCGGCCACCGTCGACAGTGTCGAGAAATTTAAAAAAACTCTCACAAACTCTTATCGATCCCCTGAACACAGATCCGACCTCATTTTCACCAAAAATGGTCCTTACTTCCCTATATCTACTTTTAAAGTTTTGGTGAAATTATTTTTTTTGTATTTTAACCCATTTTTTTAAACTAATCTTTTTTTTTTCTTCTTCGTGCAAGAAGCTCGACGCTGGGTTCCTTCCTACGGGGAGGACTGTTTGATTTTTTTGATTTTTTTTTTGCTTTTGTAGAATCTCTCTTCTTCTTTCTGTCCTTTTGATTTGGCTAGGAGCTCTATTTATAGAGTTCCGACCGTGCGTATGCTTGAGGGAAAGGCATGGGGCTCGGTATGGGGTGTAAGCACGAGCCCCATGCCTCTTTTATTCGTTTATGTCTTATTTCACAGTTTGTTAATGGGATGAGTAATTAGAGGGGTGGAGGGTATGATATAGTGATCAGAAGGGTGGGGTGTACGGTCTGGTGGTAGTGGTACCGGGGAAGGCACCACTGCCATCATCGATTTTTCTGTTCTGTTCTATGTTTTTTTTTTGTTTTAATTTTTTTATATTTTGTATTATTTTTGGTATATTTTTTATTTTATTTCATATTTGTATTTTGTATTTATATTTCATATTTTGTATTTCTGGACAAATTGAT